ACAGGATTATTGTTGACAGGTGGGAAAATGTGCCCCAGCTGTTATGCCAGGGTTTGTTCGCGTAGGCAAACACAAGCAAGAAACTAACAGTTCTGAGTTGGTTTGGAGGTTTGATGAAGTTGTGAGTTTCCTCCTGGCTTTCTGCTTCATCCTTCTTGATTTCCAGCCTCCAGGCTGCCTCATGATCCAAGATGGCTACTGAAGCTCCTGCCATTATTTCTTATGACAGTCAGGAAGACAAAAAGAACCTAAGAGAAAAAGGAGAATATGGGCACCCTTCTCCCTTTAAAAAAAAAAAAGCCTTCCTGGAAATCCCATCTGACATATTTATAGCTCATTTTGCCAAATCTTGGTCCATGGCCACCAGCTGCAGAGGATCCTGGGAAAGCCTGCTTTCCAGGTGTCTGTCACTAAGGAAAAGAGGACAATGAATACTGGAAGGGAACTGCCTCATGTGCTTTTTCCAATCCTTAAATAAAAACAGTGTTATCACTGAAGAGAAGGGAAGTAAGCTATTGCTACAACAGGAAAGTGACTCCAAAAAAAAAAAAATTCCAAATAAAAGAGATTTCTAAAATCTAGTGATCTTAGATTTAGTTACGGAATCTTCAGTCAGGATGAAATCTAAATAAAATGGAGATTTACCATAGCTCTTGCTAGAGAAATGAGACTCACATTATTTCCTAAGCTACGTTGATGTGGAAAAATTAGGAGAGGCAGTTTTAACTAAGCCCTCACAAACATTCTGCCTTTCCTAGCACAAACTGACTAGTCACATTAAATGGAAAGGTGAAATTCCTCCTTTCTATGCTGCTATAGGGACAGAACACTGTCATTATAAAAAGAAGTTTGTCTCAGGTCTTCACTGACACTTGACCCAAAATAAATCCAGAATGTTATGTTTTTAAAATTCTACGTCAATTTGAAAACAACACCTAAAATCTTTTTAATTAAACAGTGTCAAGCGGTGCCTGGGTGGCTCAGTCGGTTGAGTGTCCAGCTCTTGGTTTCAGCTGAGGTCATGATCTCAGGGTCATGAGATCAAGCCCTTTGTCGGGCTCCACACTCAGCAGGGAGCATCTGCTTCTCTCTCTCTCACCTCTGCCTCTGCACTTGCCATTGCTCTCTCTCTCTCTCTCCTCCCTGTCTCTCTCAGAATAAATAAATAAATCTTTTTTTAAAATGTCATGATCATTTATCTTAAAAATGTCAAAACTATAAAAACTATAAAGACGAGAGTAAAGATGAAATCCTATGAAGTGACTAGAACTAAGTTCACTTAATTAGTTCATGTCCACTACCACAGAGGGATTCCCTACTGTGCAATAAGCACTAGGGAGACATGGCCCTGCCCTTGGAAACACATAGAGGAATTCAAGAGATGATGAGTTATTTCAATATAATATGGTAATAATAGAGAAGGCACATGAGCACATGATGTCTTCAGAGGTTAGTAATTAGATCATTTGGGCCGGAATGCTGGGATTGGGTAAAACTTCAAAAGAGAGACGGAAATCATCCATCTTGGCTATTATAAAACGAGGAGAATCCCACAAATATTGGGAAAGCAGCTGATTGTTATTTACTAACAATGATACATCTCTCATTTTAATAACTATTTTTATATTAAATTGGAATTATCTTTTTTTTTAAAGATTTTATTTATTTATTTGTCAGAGAGAGAGAGAGAGCGCGCGCGAGAGTGAGCACAAGCAGATAGAGTGGCAGGCAGAGGCAGAGGGAGAAGCAGGCTCCCTGCTGAGCAAGGAGCCCGATGTGGGACTCGATCCCAGGATGCTGGGATCATGACCTGAGCCGAAGGCAGCGGCTTAACCCACTGAGCCACCCAGGCGTCCCTAAATTGGAATTATCTTATTACCTCTCATTTTCTTTTACAAATCAGGATTGTTAACAAAAACAATCATGGATTTAAAATTGTAATAGAGTCCAAACCACTTGGACTATCATTACAGCTTCTCAATAATCTGGTCCTCAAAGCTTCTCAAAATCCAATTTTTACACAATCCCAACATTCTAGCCAAACTGGTCTACTTATTAACCTCTAAAGACACATGTGCCATCTGCTTCCTCTCTGATGGCAACTCCTCACCCATCTCCCTTCCCCTTCTCCCTCTCTCCTTTGCCTCCTTCAATCTCTCTCTCTCTCTCACACACACACTCTATTCAGCTAAGTTCTTCTCTTCATACAAATCCGCCTAACACTTCTCCACAATAACATCTAGACCAAATCAAAATCTCTGCTCTCCTTTAGCTTTTCCACCTGTACCAATGATATGATTCCTCGGACTTCCCTTCTTATTACACATCGTTATGTTCCTGGCCAAAGTTTCATCTCTTATGGGAGCAAGAATTAAGTTTTACATCACCGTATCATCAGAACCTAGAGTAGCAGAGGAGTTCAGTGAATATGGATGGTTTTGGTAATTATCAGTCACATCCCTTTACCCCGTACATGGAGAGAAAGGCAAAAGAAAAATCCTAGAAATGAGATGCTCACCTGGGACATGGGGAAACCACACTGGACTGTTCTAGCTTCCAAACACACAGAGAGTTGCCAAGATAAGTGTAAAGTATTCTCTTGAACTAAGAGACATAGCAATGAGTAAATCAAAGTCATTTATCAGGTGCTTTGAAATTCCAAGATAAAAGCTATCAAATTAGTGTAAGGTCCTCATCAATCACCTCCGATGCTTAAGTTAGGTGGCAAAGCATGAAGAAAACGCACATCCCTGAGGAATGGCTCCATTAACACGCATACTTTTTTAGAAATTGAACTGGTTAAATAATCCATGTCTAAAATATGATAAAATTTCCTTTTAGGGAGTCCTAATACCTTACAATAAGAAGAACAGTTTCAAAGGAATGTTCCCAGTCACAGTGCTTGGGTGGCAGGAGTCAAGGGAGAGGCAGTTTCAACTGTCGATAGAGAAAAAATAAAACAATAAGCTGATGAGGGTCTCAGGAACTGAATGGAAGCATAGCGGCAACAAAAATTTGACTTTTCAGCTGACACAAAAAAGGAATCTGAGTTTCACAGACATACTTAGCAGTCAGTCCATAAAGCAACTCCTCAAGGATGAAAGGAAAAGGGGCGCCTGGGTTGCTCAGTGGGTTAAAGCCTCTGCCTTCAGCTCAGGTCATGATCCCAGGGTCCTGGGATCGAGCCCGACGTCGGGCTCTCTGCTCGGCAGGGAGCCTGCTTCCTCCTCTCTCTCTGCCTGCCTCTCTGCCTACTCTGTGATCTCTGTCTGTCAAATAAATAAATAAAATCTTTAAAAAAAAAAAAAAGGATGAAAGGAAAAGAGACAGGGTTATACTTCCTCCCTAACACTTCACTCATTCATTCATTCATTCATTCATTCCAACATGTGAACTACTAACGTATCTCTTAGAAAACCTTGGGCTGCAACTAACGGGAAATGCCCTTTCAAACCGGTTTCAACAAGAAAATTGAATTATGTCCTATAAAATGAAGCACCAAGGGTGAAGACTTTTCAAAGTTGACGGACTCAGTGGCTCAAGGATGTCCACAAGGACACAAGTCCTATTTTTCCTTTCTAACATGGTTGACTTCATCCTTAAATTGGCCATAGGATGGTTATAGTAGTCCCAGACAACTCCACACAACACAACGTCCAGAAACAGAATAATCCTCTTTTCAATTTTTCTTTTTATTTATTTATTTATTTATTTGACAGGGAGAGAGAGACCACAAGTAGGCAGAGAGGCAGGCAGAGAGAGAGGGGGGAAGCAGGCTCCCCGCTGAGCAGAGAGCCCCATGGGGGGCTCTATCCCAGGACCCTGAGATCACGACCTGAGCCGAAGGCAGAGGCTTAACCCACTGAGCCACCCAGGTGCCCCCTCTTTTCAATTTTTCTTATGGTTAAGGAAACCTCTCCCTTGCTTCTTAATAGCCAGGACAGAACCACATCCTCACCTTTAATCACTAGCAAGGGAAAGATCTCCATGACTGGCTTAGATGGTCCGTCAGCAAACTGTTTAACTCTGCCACTGCAGCAGGAGTAGACAGTACACAAAAGAGGAAGAGTTGCTGCATTCCAACCGTATTTACAAAGATTGGCTGGATTTGGTTTGGTGTAGTTAGCTGACTCCCAGTTTAGACTAACCAAGGGTATTCCTAGAGTAGGGTTATTTTCCCTGAAGAACGTGGGAAACTCAGAAAACAAACTGGAATAGAGACGAGGAAGATGGAAGTGAGTAAATGGTTGTAGAACCCAGCTGGGTCTGCTACAACCTGCTCTGTGCCCCACGCTGATGCTACCAGCGGGAATTAGGCCAGGCTCCGCCTTAACCTTCTGTGATTTCATTTCCTCTTTCAAGAATTATAATAAAAAAATAAAGTGACTTGCCTCAGGGGACCGGGAATGGGAAGCAAGGGAAGGAGTATAAAATAGGTAAGATTCAGGAAAAAGAATGTAACTAGCAAATAAACTTGAAAGCCAGAAGAGGAAATTCTCCCCAGGAGTCTATTTTTGTGGATTAATTTATTTTTTGAACAATTATTACATATTGTATTACTAGTTAAAATTTACTGAGCACTTACTAATGTGCAAGCATGGTGCCAAATGCGAAACATGCATTATGAATGATCTAATTTAATTTTCACTAAAGTTCCACAAGGGAGATTCCCCTCTCTCACAGAAGAAATACAAGTAACATGATCACAATGGTAGTACAGGGAATCCAGGCCATCTGCCTCCCAGAGCCAAATCCATAATCACAATGAAACCAGACACTGAGCTAAAATGTTAGGGAACTATGAAGGAGAATAAGAGAGACAAGATCCTCACCTTTGGGAAACCTACACTCTAGTTTGCGACAAAAAAAAACCCCACTAAAATAATAGATTATTGAGGCTACAATATAAATTGGAAACAAACAGAATGTCCTATATCAGATAAGGGACTCATGGTAGGTGGCATTTATGACACGACCTGAAGGATGACATGTAGAAAGTCATGGGGGGAGGGGAGTGCCAAGAACAAGGAGCAAAAGCAAGCCATCGGCAGCAAGAGCCGGCCACAGAGAGAAGAAGCCTGCAGAACATTCCCAGCAGAGGGACCAGCAGCTACAAAAGCCCAGGAGAAAAACAGAAATGGAACGCTGAGGAACATGAAGGAGGTGAATCTGACTACGGTTTCGAGACTCAAGAGAAGAGCGGCATGATGATGGGGAGACCAGAAGATAGTGCGTTATAGACCATCAGGTGGAGTTTGGATTTAATCCTCAGTATGATGGGAAATCATTAAAGACTCTGTAGTAAGAGGATAGTTTGAAATCATCGTTTTGATTTCTTATCCAATAGAAGTGGCTGCAGGGGAGCAGGGACACCAGTCGGGGGCGCCAGTGCAGCTGTCCAGGCCAGAGAGGAAGCCGTGTGGCCCTAGGTTCTTGGATTCCAGGTGTAGTTGCCTTTTTGAAATTGAGACGTAATTCATATACCATAAAATTCGTGAATTTTAAGTGTACATGTACGTCATTTTCCGTGTATTCACAAGTTTGTGCAACTATCACTGGATCACCTATGAAATTTTCTAACATTTTGATCACCACCCCTTCCCCAACCTCATATCCCCATTATCCCTCTTCCCATTCCTTGGCCAACACTAATTTATGAGTCAGGGTTCCCCAGAGAAACCAAACAAATAGGATACGTAGATACGGAGATAAGCAGGTAGGTAGGTAACTACATGGATAGATAGATAGATATAGACAGATGATAAGGAACTGGTTCACACAATTAGGGAGGCCATCAAATCCCACCACCTGCACTTGGCGAGCTGGAGACCCAGGATAGCTGATGGTGTAGTTCCAGTGAGAAGGTCAGCAGACTCGAGACCCAGAAAGAGCTTAGTGACGCAGTTTGAGTCCAAAGCAGGAAGAGGAAAAAAAAAAAAAAGTCCCAGATCAATGCAGGCAGGTAGGAGTCCCCTCTTACTCACAGGAGGGTCAGACTTTTTATTCTATGCAGACCTTCAATTCATTGGATGAGGTCCTCCTAAATTAGAAAAGGAAATCTGCTTTACTTACTCTACCGATTCTAATGTTCATCTCATCCAGAATAATTAACGTTTGACCAAAAGTCTGGGCACTTTCTGCCTCAGTCAGGTTGACACACAAAATTAACCATCACACAAGTCTACTTTCTCCCAAATACATTTTAAATGTAGAACAATCAAGACTCTGAGACAAGCATCCTAAGTTAGAAGTTGTAATTGACTATCTCCTCAAACTTTTAATTCTAAAAATGGTATTAACTCTATTCATATTCAAACAAAGTTGCAAATTTAGCTATATTCAGCATTTATTCTTATAAGGCTTTTAGAGCTATCTATATTTAAAAAATTTCTCTCTGAGCCTGTCATTAGTTTTTCCAAGTAGCTATCTATCACTATGATTAAATCAATAAGCAAGAAGGAAAAAAAAATTCCTGCATGTTTCGCAGTCTATATGGGTGTTTAAAGCTTTAGAATAAAGGGTGTGACAGGGAAAGTACTGGACAACATGTTGAGAAGCGGCTGTCCAATGAAAGATGCTGGCAAGTATCCCAAATACATTTAAATAATATTCCACCTGCCCAAATGGGCAGTACTCATGTATAAATTTAAATGAAGGCAGATGTCCATCACAAAGAGCAGCCACTGTAGTTCTCCAGGGTTTAACAAATAACGCTAACTTTGATTTCAACTAAAGAGCGACCGGAAGCTGCCAGCCACCACTTGTGCTCAGCCTTTATGCCCAAAGGATCTCTTGCTCTGTCTCTCACAAGAGACCACCAGACTCAAATAGTTCCAGGAATGATTTAAAGTTCAACATTAACAACTCTGACCTATTTCTCTATACATTTGGAAAAGTTCAGCTGGTATGAAACTGGTATGAAACTGGTATGAAAAACTGGTATGAAAGAACATGGTAGCATTAATAACACCCTTAAGGGCTATGTAGCCAATGGGTTTTCACATCAAGTCAAGAAATGCAGATCCCTTCCACAACTGTTCAAAATCCCTGATCTGACTAAGAACAGTCCTGAGTATCCCTTCCCACCACGGTCACTTGGCCAAGGGTCTTTCTGGGTCCATTCTACATCACACGTAAACCCAAATCCACACCAGATACACAAGTGTCTCTCTATCAAGTGTTCATCTAGTCATTGCATTAAAAGTGATTCGCTCCAGAAACCCTAACCTCATCAGTTAGTTTGGATACCGAATGTTTCTGAAAAAGCCTTCAGTATGTCTTTATATAGGAATCGCATTGTGTGTGATTGACATTTCTTCGAGCAAATTAAAGCAGCTAGATCCACTATCTACGACTACAATACTAGGATCAAACAGTACTACACAAGGGTGGACACACTAATCAAAGGGCAGATTTTCATTAATGGAGGGTCTATAATATGCGTATACATAATTAACAAAAATGCGATGTTTCCTTTATACACATGGCATTTTACTTGAGGATATTAAAGAACTATAAGTACCGGTCTTAACCTTCAAGAGATCATTACTCAGAAAATTCTGAGTTCATCAAGAAATATTCTGGTTAAACAATGATAATATAAAAATATCCAATTTTTTTTACTCTATTATCACACAGTTTGTACATAGCCTTCCTTTAGTTATAAAACATTTTAACATCCGTTAGCTCACAGTGATTTGCACTGCAAGGCTAAAAAGTTGGTGGATGATGAAGCATTATCTGTATTTCTATGGAGAGGAAATTGAGGCTCACAGAAGCCAAGCGGTTTTGTCCAGAGCTGGTTGGTTACTGAGTGGGGGAGCTAGAATCTAAACCCAAGGCCCTGACTTGTGGATCTGGTACAGGTTTTACAAAAAGTGGCACTTCTGACACTCTGGGCCAGATAGTGCTTTGTTATGGGGGCTGCCCCATGCAATGCAGGGTTTTAACAGCACCCCTGACCTCTACCTACCAAATGCTAGCAGGAAAGCCTCCCTTCCCCCAAAGTCATGATGATCAAAAATGTCTTCAGCTACAGCCCGATGTCCCCTGGTAGACAAATTCACACGCCCTAGTGAGAGCTACTCATCTAGTCTACTCCGTAGTCGTCTCTTCAAGTTAAAAAGAAACCGTACATTTATAGCACGTGACAATTCTGTTTTATTAAATCATCAATTTTTCATCAACCAAATGTCATGATAGAGACAAAACAATTTATTTTACCAGCACTTTTTAGGATTCCACAGTTTCTCGATTTTTTCCAAGAACCTGAGGCAACTATAACGAGTGCTCATAACCGACAGGAACTTCAAGCTATAGATGTAGAGGAGGGACAGGTAAAGGAGAAGGGTGGTTAACAGGAAGTTCTGGAACTTCCATGATTTCAAAAACATGTTTTTCTTAAATGTATTTACATATTAGTGAGGATAACAACAACAACAACAAATAGTAAAGTGGCTTCATTTCCATTTCCTTCCTTCTGGTACTATCCATATTTTTCAATGGTGGAAAGGAGGAAAAGAAGAGACACTTAATAAATTACCTAGTCACTAACAGCCAAGAAAAAACAGCTGACAAAGACCCTACACTCTGGCACCAACCGCCTTTCCTTTGCATTCCCCAGTGTGGCCACTTAAGAACATCAGCCGGGTAATCCTATCTAATTTATGCAGGGTATTCAGTTATTTTGATTTTCCAGTATTTTTTCAAAAAATTTGTTGTAATCACTATGTCAAATGTTTTGCTCTACTCCAAGAATAAAGAACGCTTGCTTCTTAAAAGCCCTAGAAGGGAAATAGTTAAAATGAAAACCATATACCCCCATCAGTAAGCTCTCTAGGGTAACGTTTGGCTAAATTTAGTAAATGATATATTCTATCAATTACCGTCTTGATTATTCAACTATAAAAATCAATTGAGCATATAAAATGCAGAGTAAAGAATATAAATGATTTGAAATTATAGCTTGAAGTAAAAAATTAGGTCAGTTCCCACAATCATGTGTCCTGGGTCTCCTTTCTGCTCTGCTCATCAGAATTACGCAGCAGCTTCAAGAGACAGCATACCCAGATTTATGAACAACACGTAGTAAGGCACTGAGCCTCCCCAAGGAAAACCACAATAACAAGCTTGTTATAATATATATAATATATAATATACATAATAACATTCAGTTCAGTTTTAGCACTGCATTTCACCTGTATTTTAAAGGGCCAAATCTAGATTACAGTGAACAGATTCTATTCCTCCATGTGATCTCCCGTGGTTAAGAATAATTTGCTGACCTAAAACACTAAGGATAAATTCTTTGCATTTCCATAGCCAAGATCCATACACTTGATGATTCTCACTCATATTTCATTTGTTTTTTAGAGGAGATCAATTTCAGGCGTAAAGGTCAATACCTAACAGTGCCATATGGAACTTCCTGAATTTGCCTGAAAAACACATCCAAAAGAGCCAGCTTCACTTCACAGAAAACACATTACTGCCCATACGCAAGGCAAAATGCCGCATGAACTCTTGAAAGAGAAACGTGACATCTGAAGACCGTCCCCGCAAGCCATCGCACCACTCCTTCTGAAACCGTCCTGGTTAATACTCATCAACAAAGACTGTGCTTTCTCTTTGAAAACTACATGTTTAAAAAAAAGAGAGAGAGAAAGAGAGAAGGACAGGAGGGGAGACATTTGCAAAGGAAGCTGCGGGGTGAACCTGGCACGTTCTGGGTAATTGCAGACTTCACAGATGGCCATTTAGGAAAAGCCCCTCCTTGCCTCCAAGGCACAGACTGAAGGGTGGTTTTCTAAACCAGGAGAGAGAAAGAGCTGCTGGACCCCTTTCCCAGTAAACATTAAGGTGTCCTGTAAATATAATTCATCCCAGAGATGCCTGAAGGAGGAGAGAGAAGAGCAGCCTGGATCCGTCCACTGGCCCACACTCAGCGTCTGACGCAGCCCTGCAATGTCGCTGACTTGCCGGAGGTTCCGAGACAGCCATTTACTGTGCTGCTGCCGGTGTCATTACTCTGCCTTTGCTATTAACTGAAGCCAGCGCCAACCCCATTCCACGTATTGTACAGAATATACAATAGGAAATGAACCCCACTCCATGGCTTCGCATCACAAGCCTCAGCTTGGCTAATTAAAAATGTAGGAAAAGCACCACGATTTCAATATTTTCAGCCAAGGGAACAAAACGTCATCCATTGACCCATATCAAGAAGCACCTGCCCCGCTGAATTTCTGGCAAAGTCAGGGTGCTCTGCAGAGGGCTGACCTAGAACCGACTGCACGTTCTGGGGGGCAGCATCAGGGAGGGAGGGGTTTCGATCTCGATTCTGTCTCTTCCTAGATGTGTGGCCCGGGACATCTCCTTGACTTCTCTTAGCTTCTTCTACAAAAGAGTCTTCACTTAGACACAGAAATACTGTAGTTCAGAACTGGGGGAACATCACATGAGAGGTGTAGCAGGGAGAAGAGTGGATTGTTTGTTGCTTTCCTATGTGAATAAGGCTTCCTGGAAAAACATTCTGCCAAGAAATGACATGAAGGAAAACGGGGTCCAACCAGAAGAGGAAAGCCCACTGCATGAGGCTCCCCGGCGGCCGTGAGGAGAAACAAGAGGGTGTGCAAGTAAGTGGTAGGGCAGGTGTGTCTGAAGCTCGCGTGTTGTCTGAAGCCCCAGAAGGGCTAGACGCGTCGTTAAACAGATTAAGGAGATTCCGTTATGAAAAATGCAGCAGCTTTAGTTTCTATGCACATCTGAACTTAGTGGAGTAAACTGTGATCCACCAGAGCTGCAAGTCACAGCTGATCTGTTCTGTCAGATTTGGCTGAAGACTCTCAACACCGTGCCTTTTTTTCCCCCTCATTAAATGTTACCAATCCCAAAGTCAAGAATCCCATCCAGTTGGGTAAAGGTCAAACTAACTTGCCAACTGGAGCCATCTCAGTCCGAGGCAACCACGTTCCCAGTCACTTCTACTTTACAAATCAGTCCAAACCAGTACAAAGCCAGGTTGTCCATCCCTTCTAACACAGGTTGCACGTGCTGGTTACAAGTTCTGGCTGAGATGGGGAAGGAGCGGCCTGTGCGCCCTCCTCTGGGCCCCAGACACTGGCCCTGGCCACAACAGCAAGGAAAAGCCAAGGGGGTGGAGGCTCCCTGGGCAGCAGCACTCCCCAGTCTGTTGGCCCCACCACCTCTCCATCCAATGCCAGCAGCAAATAATTGTTGCCATGGACATGGCCTCTTCTCCCATATGAGTGCCACACACAGAAGCTTTCTACCCACCAGGTGTTCTTAGGGTAGGCAAAGCATGCGAGCAGGAAGTGTTCCCTCCACAAAGACACACAAGATGCTGGGGGTGGAGGGGTGGGGGGTTGTATCTCCTCTAGACCCAGCAGTGATAAGCAGAATGCTCTCTCCTCAGGCGTGAACATCAGGCACGTAACTGGGGTACATCTCCCAGGAAAGCCCAACAAGTCTCCCACTCAATCAGCTACGGTGTCCTTAACACTGAGGACCTTCTGAAACTTGACCCCCTACCTTCCAGTTCCAGAGGATGTTGTGAAGCTCTGGCATGTGGGGCTTGATGCTTCCTGTTCATACCTAGCTGTCCCTCCCCCCACCTCTTCACCCGAGTACACACGGGGCCCTTCTGTGACCTACCTGCCGACAGTAACTGCAGGTAAGCCGTGAACCACGCTCCTTCCAAACCTCCCCTGATACACACTGGCCCAGACATTCTCTCTGGCTTTGGGGGCTTGGGTTTGGCCCTTCCAAGAGGAGGGAAAGTGTTAATTACTATCACCACCTTAATCTCCCCAGAGGCTCCCTGTTGCTACATACGTGAGTAAACAGGGAGTCACAAAAGTTCCGTAGCTCTGCCCCCTCTTGGCAGGCCGTGCTTTAGGGGACAGCGAACACAGGGCGGTTTTCTAAACTAAAAATCTAGAGAACTCATCTCCTTGAGTTCTCAATTATGAACTGCCTCCAGGGCAAAGAAGAACCATGAAGCGGATCTCTCAGTGATTATACATCACCGTGGGACACCCTTAATTTCAGGAGTTAGACACTTGGGTTCTTACCTCCAGCCCTGGCGTGGACCAGCAGGTAATGGTGGGGACCATCACCCAACTTCTCAGAGGCTGAGTTTATGCTCCTCAAAAGAAACTAATACCACCTGCATTTGAAATGAAGGTATCTGGAAAACTATAAAGCTGTAAAATCACATGTTAATCTGCCCAGAGAAAAATACCACCTTGTTTATTTTCAAAGAAAGCTAAGGGACAAGCGGGATGTAGGAAGGGCCTGCCCTGCATTTTTACAAATGCAAAGACAGAGGCGCGTTGCAGAGCCCCAGTGAAACTACCGTTTTCCCAAGGCCATCCAAGCGCGGTGCCAGCCAAGGACCCCTCTCCTTGGGTCCTCAATTCCTGCTATTATGGTTTACCCATCTCCAGAACTTAAACACTCATTAAAGATTCTAAGCTTAGAGCTCAAAAGTGCCTGAAAGCACATCGTGGTTCAAATGTCTTGGTTTAAAACGGAGGAGCTGGCGCTCTGACAAGAAAGCATGAGCTATGCCTTTCTCTCAGATGCCGAGCTGCACCATGCGGGAGGAAAGAGCTCGTTTTCCTCCAAAGCAGGGCAAGGTCCAACACAAAGGAGCCCCATGAAGTAGCCCAGAAAGCGGTCCTGCCACTTCAGCAGGGTCAGGCAGGAACAAGGGTGCTGAGAGAACGCAGGCTTCGCTGGGCCGCCGTGGGAGTTGAACGCGGCTCTCGGGAGGCACGCATGCCGCTCCCGGGCTCACTGTGCTGTCCAAGTTCTTATCTACAAAGCCATCTAAAGAACTAAGTGTGAGGTGCTGGCTTTGCCAAGAGCTCACTAATTAAAACGTATTAGCAGCATCGAGTCCTATTATCCCTTGGAAAGGGAGAGAGCTAAGCCTGGCCTCCAGCGGCAGGGAAGATAAATTAAGTAAAACTGTTTCTCACCGATAAATAATGGATATGACAACAGATGCCCCTCGGTCCTGGGTGGGTGGGGACCACAAAGGAAGAATGTGCTTATTGCCAAAACAAATGCAAAATAGAGGGGCCTTCTGGAGATCTGCCCCCTTTGAGCACCAGAGCAGAGGACAGACCTGGCCTCTGTGCACCAGGATGAGACAAAAATCAATGTTTCTACACACGTTACTTATTTCATTATGTCCTTGCACTTTGCTTCACAAAAGAAGCTAATACAAATTCAATGCGTGTCCACACTGCCAGCATAATGCTGCTGCCTTGTTGGCCATGGGGAGCTCCCACGGCACACTGGGAGCCTCTCTCACAGGTCGCTGGGCACGAGATGCTGCGGAAAGCAAGGCTTCTGGGGAGCCTTGAGCTGGCCAGCCCCAGGCATTGGCCATTATTCCTGCCCCACTGCAGCGGGGTCCAGAAAGCCACGGTCACCCAGCACAGCGGTTTCCCACACACGCTCTCGAGGTTGCGGGCGGACGGCTGCCGGGGGCCCATCGTCAGCTGCACGCCTAATGCTCAGCAGCACATTGTTACCATGAAGCCATGGGACATGGTAATGGCAGAGGAAGCCCTAAAGCCACTATGAGTGAAAGGTCTAAAAAAAGAAAGAAAAAAAAAGAGAAGCATGGCAGTCGCCTTTATTTGTTATAAGCATCTTGACACATATGCTTTAATAAAAATGAAAGTCTGACTTACTGCATTATTAAAGTCGGATTTCTTAAGCAGGGTGAGAAAAGCAACTACCCAGGAAGCTTTCTATATTGGCAAAAGGACAATGCTGAGAGAAGCTAATGGCACATGTGTGAGGCCCCACTGATAGATTTCACCCCAGAGCAAATCACACGCCAACTTATCTTGACAGTTGATAAAAAAGGTGGTCAAACCAGAACAAATTTTCCCCAGATAAAAGCTGAGTAAGAGTTTTTATGAATGCTGCTTAAAATATAAAGTAACAGCTCAATGAAAAAGTCACATTGTAATTAAGATTATTCAGGGAACTCACACTGACGTGGGCAACTGATTTTCCAAAAGCGTGCCAAAGGAATTCAATGGGGAAAAACCGTCCTTTCAATAAATGGCGCTGGAACAATTGAATATCCATACAGTTAAACAGATCAACCTTAGCCCCTCATGTCACACCTGCACAAAACAATTAATTCAAGATAAATCATGGACCTAAATTTAAAGTTAAAACTATAAAACTTGTAGAAGAAAACAGACGAGTATCTTCAAGACAAAGGCCAAGATTTTTTTTTTTTTTTAAGATTTTACTTATTTATTTGACAGAGAGAAACAGTGCGAGAGGGAACACTAACAGGGGGAGTGGGAGAGGGAGAAGTAGGCTTCCCGCCAAGTAAGGAGGCCGATGTGGGGCTCAAGCCCAGGACCCTGGGATCATGACCTGAGCCAAAGGCAGATGTTTAATGACTGAGCCACCCAGGTGCCCCAGGGCTAAGACTTCTTTGGGCAGGGTAAGAATGCAACAATTATAGAAGAAGGAAAAGGATAAATTAGACTTTATTGAAATTTAAAATTCCGGCTCAATGAAGGTAATATTAAGAAAAAAGATTAGGCAAGTCACAGACTGGGTAGAATACTCTGAAAACATAGTTCTGGCAAAGAATTCACATTCAGAATATATAAAAGAATTCACATTCAGAATATATAAATACATATAAAGAGCTCCTACAACTCTATAGTAAAAACAACCGGATTTAAAATCTGCACAGGACCTCAACAGAAACTTCACAAAGATACATATACAAGTGACTGAGACACACAGGACAATGTGCTTTCATCAGTGGGTACCAGGGAAATGCAAATTAAAATCGTAGCTACTCCTACACTACACTTGCTATCGTTAGGTGGAGGGAAAACTCAGAATGTTGACAAGGGTATAAAGCAAATGCAACACCCATATCTTGCACATAGAAGTGAAAAAAACAAACAGTACAACCACTTTTGAACAAGTGCTTGGCAGTTTCTAACACAGGTAAATCAATGCCTATCCTTTCCTACCATCCCATTCCTAAGATATTACTCCAAAATACAAAAACAAAATGTCCTCAAAGAAGATCCCCTTGGAATGTTGATATCCACTGACTTTATCCTAATAGATAAAAAACCAACCCAAATGTCCATCAGCAGAAGAATGGATAAACAAATAGTGATACAATTACAAAAGGGAATACTGTTTAAGCAATTTTCAAAAGAACAAATTGCTGGTATATAAAACAATGGATGAATCTCAAAAACATGATGAAAAATGAAAAAAGCCAGATGCACACACAAACTATACTATATCACTCCATTCATATAAAATTCTAGAACTGGCAAAACTAAACCATGATTTGGAGAGTCAGAAAAGTTACTGCATCTTGGCAGCGAGTTGGAAAGAGGATTAACTGGTAAGGAATACAAGAGAGCTTTTTCAGTGACATAAATATCCTTTGTCTTGGTACAGATGGGTCACACAGATGTGTGCATGTGTCAAACTTGCATTGCACACTTAGGATTGTGCCCTTGATTTTGTGTGCTTTGTACCTCAAAAAAGTAAATAAATAAATATTGAATTCTACTTAGCAGGTTTACTTTTTGCAGGAGTATGAGCTAGTAATTCTCAAACTACTTTCTGTCCATCCTAGACTTGGGCAAATGAGTATTGTATACCTTGGGTATAACTGAAATCACATTTCCCACTGGTGAAAAGACAATTTCATATATAGAAAGGAAGAAAACATGAGCATACCTGGTGTTTTAGGTTGAAATTGGCATCACCAATATAAACCTGTAGCTTTTAACATGAAGAGATACAGACCTAAATAAAATACGTATGCATATATGTGTATGCATACACACAAACACAAGCACAGATTTTCCAGCTTTGTCTACTAATGAGATCTAGGAAACATGACACCCAGTATAACAAACAGGGTTGGCTCCCAGATCTCACTTTCTAAACACCATCCCCAAAGGAATTAGGGCTCCTTGAAGAAAAAGCTAATTCAAGGGCTGAACAGAAAATTATACAGTAAGCCTAGAACATCCTATCAGGAAGCAAGAAAGTGTTAAAAACTAAAAGAAAAGGTGAAAGTGAACCTGCAGCTAGCTTGACGGGTCTCTGAGTGGCTGACTCGGGGCCAATTTGTGCATCAAAATAAATACTCAAAATTATTGGCTAAACTATGGAACCCACCAATACATATTGGTATCAATAAGAAAAGAAAGGCCTTCTTCTCCGTAGAAGGTTAACTAATAAGCAGGGAAGGAATATTGATGTTAGAAAACCATTGATGGTGGCTAAAAACCAATGGGTAAAAGTTTGATAGGGACCAGGATATTCATAAAGCCCAAATGTGTAGCCCACAAATAACTAATTGCTTACAAAGGAAAAACAATACTTTTAGAAATGGAAGGTGCTGGCAGACCTAACAATATGACCAAAGTTACCATCAATGCCAGGACAAATATCTCCTGATATGATATACTGGCAAGGACATAGTATTATTTGTTACTGGGTCAAAAATATATAATCTCAATTTAATCATGAAGAAATATCCTACAAATCCAATTTAAGGGACATCCTAGAAAATAGCAGGCCTATACTCTTGAGAAATGTGAGGGGGGAAAAAAAAACTCTTAACATTGAGGAACTGTTCCAGATTGAAGAAAGCTGAACAGATACGACAACAAAATGTAATCTGGGATCCTAGACTGTGTACAGGACTAGGGAAAAAATAGTCGTGAAAGTAATTCCTAGAATTGATGAAATTTGCATATGAACTACAGATAGGAATAAAGTATCAATATAATATATCCTGATTCTGATCATACCATGATTACGCTGAAAAATGATCTTGTTCCTTGCAAAGGAACACGGTGTCTCCAAATTACTCTCAAATGGTTCACACACGTACACACACACACACACACACAGAGAGAGAGAGAGAGGGAGAGAATAAAGCAATTAAGAGGAAAAAATAAACAGTGAATCTGTTTAATAGTTATAATTAGGCAGGAGTTCCTTGTACTACTCTTGCAACATTTCTGTGAGTTTAAGATAATAAAAAAAAGTAATCAGAGAAACCAGAAGAAACCACAGAAAACCCATTTGGTAAATGGAAAACAATCCATGAGTAGTAGTACATCGGATTTAGAATACTTGGAAGGGAAGTGAACTTATCTGTGTTCTTTAATTCATGAATCAAAAAATATTTACATTTCCAATTTCGGTTAAGCTCTGCTGATAGAAAAGAGACCTGTAAGACATGAGCATGCATCTTCAGCATAGGACACATAAGACATCGATTCAACAAGTCAGCATGTAGGATGACAGGAATCATCACGAAGGTGTAACTTGAACGGGTAAGCAGAGAGAGCACTGACTTCTGCCCAAGAGATCCCAGGGCAGCTTCACAGAGGAGAGAGGGATTGTGTCTATGGGTAGGATCTCAACAGACAGAAAAGAAGTTGGGAACAGAGCGAAAAGGTGTCCCGCACAGAGGGAACATTATGGAGACATGCACTGAGGCACACATTGTAGTACTTATTGCAAGAACTGGGAGAGAACAGTATGGCTTGGGAGTGGAGTATGAAAAGGAGCAGTTTAAAAAAAAAAAAAAAAGGAAAGAAAGAAAACACTAGAAAAATAGTTTGAGGACAGAGTATATGGGAGCTTTTACTGACAGAGGTGTCAGAGTTTAATTTTAGTCAGTGGAGTGGTTCAGGATAAGGAAGGATCAGGAAGAAATGGCTATTTCACATGTGAAGTCAGGCCAGAAGCTAATCCAACAGTCCAGGAAAGCAGGTGAGCACCTAGAGGAGGCATAAATAGACCGGTGTTCCTAAAACTGGTCTCTGGTCTTCTCACCCTTATCCCTAAGAAGGCTCAAGATAACCACTGGTTATCAAGCAAACTAATAATGATGAAGTGTACTCACCAAGTGTTTTGTAAGTTTATCTTGAAAGTGACCTATTAATATTCTTTGCACTAGAATGAAGGTATGTGTGCAGAGTTATGAGCTCTTATGTTTTCCTCCAATAAACCTAGGAAAGCTTTAAAGAACACCCTTTAAAACCTCAGTGTTTAAACTGTTCTTAACATACTACCTTTGAAGGGTCTAAGTAAATTCATTTAAAAAGAAAAGGCCCAAATTCAAAGCACTGCATTTCTCCAAAAAAAATTTTTTTTTCCAGATTCAGAAACAAAGTCTGTGCCTGCGGCTGTTGTCAAACTTTGCAGTGGAATTTGCATTTAATATTTCCTACATATCATCATTCTACAGCTACAGGGGGTCCCCACCTTAGGATGGTTCAACTTGGGATTTTTCAACTTCAAAATGGCACAAAAGCCATAAGCATTTGGCAGAAACCATCTTCTAGAGATATACAGTACAATACTCACACATGATGCAGGCCAGCAGGCCAGGAGCTATGAGCCCCAGCTCCCCGTCAGCCTCGGGATCACCAGGGTAAACAATGGATACACTTACAACCATTTTGTACCCATTCCGCCATTCTGTCTCTCACTTTCAGGACAGTAGTCAATAAACT